GATGGCAAGCCTCAGCATTCCTTGGGGATGGCAAGCCTCAGCATTCCCTGGGGGTGCCGTTCCACACTGACCTTGTGGCTTCAGTGCTCCCTCAGTCCCAGTTCCAGTTGGGAATGTCTCAAAGAGCCGTGCGTGTTCCCCCTCGCACCCACCACTGGCACAGATGGGATGGGACTGACTTACTGGCTTTGGGATTCCTTGTCTAACAAGCAGGTGCGGGAATATCCTGCCCCAGGAATATCCAGAGTGCACCCCCTGCAAATTCCTGAGCCCTGTCCAAAAATCACCAGGTGACACGAGGGGTTTATCCACAGTGTTGTCTGTTCTCCATAATCCAGCACTTCAGTGACTCCAGAGTCAAATAAATCAGGATCAATCCCAGGTCACACAGACTGGGACAAACCGGCTGCTGTGCTGGAAAGGGTAATTCCAGAGGCTCATCTCCCATTACTGGGAATTCAGGGCTGCAAAGAGCCCGGCAGTGATCGATCCTGGATTCCTGCTGATTAACCCCACCCAACATTCACTGCCAAGTGCTGCTGCAGCACCTCTCTGGGAAAGGTGCCCAGTGCAGAGGGGATTCAGTGAGGTCCCTGCCCAGTTTCCCAGGATGGATGGGAAGCTGCCACGGACAGGCTGGATCTCAGGAGAACTCCCTTTGAGTAGGTTCCTGAAAGCTTCTGAAACAGGGACTTGTTCCCAAGTCTAAGGCAGCTGAAATCCCGTGGCTCGCCGGCCTTCCTGATAAAGTGCTGCAGAAGTGAGCTGGGTGTGGCAATCTTCCTTTAATCTGATTTCAGGGAACAGCTGGCTGAGATTTAAGCTAAACTTTAAACCAGCCCATGACACATCAGATGGAAAAAAATAGAACCAGAAGGTCCTTTTTCCCAGCTGAAACCTACTGGGATATTCAGGGCTTATGTGGAGATAAACCCCTCTGAGAGATTCCATACCAAATATCATGGAAATTCTGAGAGATGGAAAAGCAAATCAAACACTTTCAGAGGAAGTTCTCCCACCTTAATTCCCAAACACCCTCAGAGCTTGTCCTTAGCAGCTCAAGTCCTGCATGGCACAGAGCCAACACTTCGGCTCCAGTGGGAAAGGGACAGGAAATGCAGGATAAAGTTCCATCTCACCTTCAGCAATTCCCAAGCAGCTGATGACACTCCAGTGAAATCCTGGCCCGGGACAAGACTGTCCTGCCTGTGGATTGATCCAGCCTGTTGCTGTCACTGCTTCTGCTGCTTCAGGAACTTCAGACATTGTTTCTGCAGCCAAGACAAGGATTTCACAATTTATTTTCAGGTTTAATGCATTTTTTGTTGTATTTTTAAATGTGGTTGTATTTTTAGATTTTGCTATTTTTCTAGCTCCCTAAATTACTGCTCAGAAGCCTGATAAAAGTGGGTAACTAATGGTCTGTTTTGCTGTTACAGAACAAACCATGTGGTTTATGAAATTCTAGTATGAAGAACATAGAATCACAGACACAACCCCACTAAAAATAACTTCGTTTGTTTTTACAAGGTTTTGTCATGAGGTTTTTATTTACACCCAATACCTAAAATCCTTTCAGGAAAACCTACACAAATTTGGCAACAGTTCTCATTTCTCATAATTAGTGTTTGAGCACACAGGAATCATTTCAGGCAATTCCCTGCTGCCCACACAAGGTCACTTTGGACCTCTGAGTGCTTCCAAGTCTCTCTGTCAGATTCTCTGTCCCACTGACCAAACTGCTCCACGTTCAGCATTTGCCTGTTGTGACCAAAAACCCTCCCAAATGTTCATCCAGAAGAATGTCTTCTCTGCAGTGGTCACAGCTGTAAATCCAGTACTTACAGATCTGATGGCAGGAGGGATTCTTTTCCAGAGATACCGTGTGTTATTCCTAAAAAAAATGAATTTCAAAATACTTGTCAGTCACCAAATGCTTGCTGCAAGGAGACACCAAAAGGTGTGTTCACATCTGTCCTGAACAGTCTCAGTGCTTTGAAACAGTCACTCTAGGCAGGAATATTTTACACTGCAGTGCAAAAGCAAAGCTACTCTTGAAGAAGTTGTTAATACTGTTAAATAGCTTTGCTTGGTTTACCTGAGAGGCCTGCCTGGGATTGATGCTCTAAAATTTTTGCTTGTCTGAAAAAAACTTGCCTGAGAATAATGTTGTTAATACTTTTGCTTGCTTGAGAAACTTGCCTGAGAATCCTATAACCTTTAAGATAAGACACACAGTTTGTAGATGGAAAGGATGTATGTTTTTGTATTGCTTAAAAGGAGAAATTAAGCAGAAATTAGCCATCCAGGAACAAAGAAGAACCAGTTTCAAGACTTGGAAACAGGACAACTGAAAGGGGGCTGTTAAACATTGTTTGTTAAATCATGTACAGTATGAATAAGGTTTTTATAATTTTTCTGCTAACACTTAAATAGAAACAGTTAATAAAGAATTAATTTAGAATTTTTTTATGCTAAAGTTATGTATGTGGCCAACAATGAGTATAACCCTACATTTTTGCTCCACTTGCTGAGAATTTTATAACTTTTAAAGGAAGGGGAGCGGGAAAGGAACATGAATTTTGCAAACAGATAGAAAATATCTTCAAACTGTCAAGCAACCAATCAGCATTCAAGGCTGCAAAGCAAAAGACTACAGCACAAGAAAGGATTCATTTATGGACTAAAACCCAAAAGCTAAACTGTTTTAGAGACTGCAATTGTCACAAAAGGGCGCTGGATGGCAGCAAAGACTGTGAAATAATTACGGCAGCCTTGTAGAGTGTGGGCATGAACTAGGCAGGATTTAACAAGAAAGTGTAATGACTTTAGAACACAGAAGGGTTTTGTGTTTGTAATATTGTTGGAGCACTTATTATGGAGGGATTTATCCCCAGTGCACCCCATTGCTGTTATTAAAGGATGGATAAAATGTTGGTGTCGGGTTCAATCTTTGTTTCACTCTCCAGCAGACAAGGGGACTGAGCTAACAGAGCAAACAGCTCATTAACAGCCTCCTTTAACACCAGCTCGGGAGGGGTTGTTCATTTCAGCAGCATTTCTCAGAAGTGAGGTTTGCACTTCCATTTTTCTTTGACTAATGAAGAGTACAAAAATGCTTTCTTCATGTGCCCACAAGCCCACTTTGCAAACCAAAGACTTAGACTGGTTTGGGCATGTTTTTCCTAGCCCAGCTTGGTCAGACACATTCTGGGGATTGGGACATTCTGAAACATTTAGTTATTGACCTTTAGAGCACAGAAGCCAAACTGAAACGATTACAAGTTCCAAGGTGTAAAGTGTAAAAGAGTGAAAAAGTCTCACTGCTTTTCACTGAAGCACAATTCTAAAAATCCACAGTTGCAAAACTTCAGACTCATCTGAACCAAGCTTATCTGCATTAAATATTCAGTATCAGCCTTCAGGGAATCTGCCCTGGAAGAATACACACCTACAATCCAGGAAAACAGCCAAATCTTGGAATTCCCCACACCAGTGCTTCCTTTGGGGCTTGGTACTCAGAGACGTGGCAGTGACGTTCATTTGGCCTGAACAAATAATCAGCAACTTGTCACTCAAAGCCCAAGTGCAGTGGCTCGAGTTCACACAGGGACGTGGCAATCCCACACGAGACACAGCTCAGGGGATTTCTGCTTCCTGCACATTCACCTCCTCCAAGCCAACAGCATCCCTCATTTTTAGCACAGACGGTCCAGAGTTATCCTGCTGGAACTGAGACACAAGGAGCAGCCTGTAACCCTACTCAAAACAAATGCAGCCTTGAACAGCTACAAATCAAAACACTGACACGTCTGACACTGCCCAAAAGCAGCCAACTTCACTATGTAAGGAACTTCACTCCTAAATTTCCCGGCAGTTCCAAAGGGGGGGGGGGGGAAGATGAGGAGCACACAAAGGAGGATGATTGTTTGTTCAGATGGAGGGTTGAAAGAGCCTTAATCCCACAAATATCGCTCTCTCCTTTCAAACACAGCACTGCCCACTGGCATTTTGTTACTCACACAACCACCTCCTCTCGTTCTGGCGGCTGCAGCTCGAGCTGCTGGTGACAAACCCGGGTGTAAAGCCACAGGTGGGGAGAAGCCACTCACATGTCGTTGTGCAGCAGGTACAAAGCCATAAACAAGGGCTGCTGCAGTCCCTCCAGGGGCCTAAAAACAAACACAGGCCATTTGGGTACACATTTTAAGAGCAGTAGGGTACAGAACACAGCAGGAAGCCAAGTTTTATGAAAACTGAACACTCCAAGACAACCGATGGAAGTTTTTTCCGCATCCCATCATAGGTCTGGGCAACTTTTTTTATATCAATGCAGTTGTATCGTCCAATAAAGCTTCGGGCTGCCCAAACCATGCACCAGCCACTGCTCTGAGCTTGGGAATGGCAATGGGACAAAAGGCAAGGCAACTGCCGGGAATGTGGGGAGCGAGAACCAGCCCTCCCTAGCGGGGAGTGTTGGGAGCACAGCCAGTGCCACACTGCCCTCGGCACAGCCGGCCGGGAACAGCTGTACCCCGCGCTCCTCCAAAGGACGGGAATGCACCTTCACAGCTCCCGGCTGGAAGGGGAGCCACACTCAACTCTCCCAGCCCCACAAGGCACTCTCCTCCTCCTCTGGGCCCTGGTGCCCATCACCTGAGGCAGCAGCAGCTCCCGCTTCCAGCACAATTCCCTCCAGCTCCACAGCACCCCACGCAGAACTCAGGGCTACGAGGAGGCTGCAGCAACACGCTGGGCACACGAGAGGGACCTACGCTCAGCACAGGAACAGCAGCTGGAGCTGGATGCTGCTCCTCTGGAACCAGGGACCCCTTCCATTGCAGGAGGGAATTTTCCACTGCCCAGCTACAGGCCCGACACCAAAGTTCTGCTGGTGCCCGGGATCACACACAGGATCACCTGCTTCCCTCCACTTGCTGAGGCAGCCAGATCTAAACTCAGGATCACAAGAGCTCCCAGAGAGCAAAATTCGCAGCTCACACTTCTTTCAGTTCACTGCAGCGGGATGTGCGAGCTCCACGTTTAGACAAGCACTGGGAACTCCACAGAGTAAATCTCTCCAAGGGTACAAATTACTCCAAGGGTAAATGTCTGTGGATGCCATGCGGGAAGAGCCTGTGCTGTGCCCGTGGTGCCCCTTCCGAAGCCCCGGCTGCTGCCTGGAGCCCCGACAGTGCCCGCAGCACTTGGGCACTGCTCGGGCAAGAGAATTATACTGGAATGCACTAATTTGTGTGAAACTCGCGAGTTTCTCGAGGGCTTTCTGGCGAGCCCAGGGGGCGATTCTGAACACTGAGCCCTGCGCACCTCACACACACAGAGGGAGCCCCGTGCCCCGCCCGCCCCATCCCCGTGCCCCCACACCTCCAGCTCCCGAGCGAGTCTCGCCACCACCTCCGCCATCGTCCCTCACGCATGCGCGAGCTCTGACGTCACTTCCGTCGCCAGCCCCCAGCGACTTCCGCCCGGCTCTCAGTGCGCGGGGCCTGCGGGGGCGTGGCCAAAGCGGGGGGCGTGGCCATGGCGAGGGCGTGGCCATGGTACCGTAGGGGTTACGCGCGGCGCGCGCCCCACGGCCGCGGCCTGTCGGGGTCGCGCAGATGAATCCTTTTTAAACCGCCTTATTTCTGTGAAATAAGCAGAATTCCTGTGTCACAAACAGAATTATCTCCAGTTTGCTGTCTGCTGTATGAGATACACGCCCCCAGCCCGTATTGCACACGTCAGGGATGCACTTCAGGGAGAGAAAGTGCTTTCCCAGCTTCGTGCCTCTTTATAATGGGTTTTAAAAGTAGTTTTATGGTAGCGGTTCTTTATCCTTGTTCCCTATAAAATCCCCTGTTATGCAGAGCAAACAGTGTGGCCAGAGATACACCACAGAATCCCGGGATATCCTGAACTGGAAGGGACCCACAAGGATCACCCAGTCCAATTCCCGGCCCTGCCCAGGACACCCCAACAATCCCACCCTGTCCGTGACAGCGTTGTCCAAACGCTCCTTGAGCCCTGGCAGCCTTGGCGCCGTGACCAGTGCCCTGGGGAGCCTGTTCACCCTCTGGGGGAAGAACCTTTCCCTGATACCCAGCCTAACTGTCCTCTGACACAGCTGCAATATTTATACAATATAGCATTCAGTATATATACAAGAAATCATCTGTATCTCTGCCTATATCCTATGAAATAGCCCATAATGTGCTCAAATGTCATTTAACAGCACATGTGCTACTTTAGAGGTGGAACCACCCCTCTGCCGTGGCCTTTCTGTGGCTCGGGTTCCCATCCCCAGTGAGACCAGGGGGCTGTTCTGAGCACTGAGCCCTCTGCACCTCACCTGGGGTCAGCACTGGGACCCCCAGTCCTGCCCAACTGGCCCCAAAACCAGGCTCATGAGCCATATTTCTGACTGGAGGAGGGTTGAACATGTTTGCAGCCCGGTTTGAGGCAAAGGAATTGATGGAAAATGGCAAGATTGTCACCAGATCTTCGCAAGTACCGGGGCCGCAGATATAAACTCACAGTTTTAGGGTAAAATTAACCCTAATGAGGAGGCTCATTTTCTGCAAACCTTTGCTTTCTGATATGATGAATTTGCTTTCCACGAACATCCTCACCCCAGGTCACAAGGCCTGACCCCACCACTTCTCCCCACCTCCCATCCCCAGCACTGCCCCAAACACCATTCCCCAAACCATTTATTCCTCCTGTGGAGAGTTTCCCCAAGCTGTGCTCCAGAGCTGCACCACCTGACTCTAAAGTTAGGATGCCCTGTGCAAGCCTGTTCCAAGTGTGCCAGGGTCGTCCAGAGGTGCTCCCCACACTTCTGGGTTGAAACAAGGGAAAAAACCAGTAAAAATTGAACAGATAAGAGGTTTCCTCGAGAGGGCAGTAGCTGCAAGGGAAACTGCCTAAAAATCCAAGGAAACTGGACATCCATACATCCTACTGTCCCTTTCATGCAAGAAACTCTTTCCATTTCAAGGCAGCTGGGCTTTTTTTTTCTTTTTTATGTTTCTTTTTGCTTTTCATTATGTTTTTAGAACAACAAAGAAAGGGTTGCTTCCCAGTGTGCTTAGCTGAACACCTCTCTGGAAGCCATTCCTTGGCATGGGGACAGCCAGAAAAGCCGTATCCTCTTTCTCTTTTATAGCCTTCCCTCCATCCCTCTCCTCTTGCCTTCCTTTAACACCCTAGGGTACATGTCCCTGTGATTCTGGACCACGTCCTCACCTCTCTTTCCCTCCTTTCCCAAAGCTGTTTAAGGCTCTGATAGTATTTTCAGGGAGGAGACATGCCAGAAGGGAATACTCTTCTTTTTGCATCACCAAAATAAAATGCAGCAGGTCTGTTGTATTTTCAGGGTTATTAAAAATCCGGGAGGTTTGGATGCTGTTTCTGGGGTTGTCTGGAGCTGGTGTGGGATGAGCTTGGCCTCTGTTTGGTGGCATCATCCAGCACCTCTGGAAGCAGCCCAGGAAGTCACTTATTTTATTCAGGAGTTACTCTTCATTTTAGACACCAAAACAAGAGGCCAGACTCAAAACAGATGAGCACATTGGAAAGTCTATTCCACGGGCAAAACTGACCACGTTAAATTAACAGGAAGGCTTCCTGACTTGACAGGATCCTGATTTGTCTTCGGCCCAAAGGCTTGAAAAGCACTTTAAGAGGTGGCCACCAGCTGCTGTAGAAGTGTAAACTAAATTTAATGAGATTTTTATTCAGCTCCTGGTGACGATGGCAGGAAAATTTCAGCAACTCATTTGTGGCTTGCGTGAATTTTAGTATGGAGATGGAAATGGATCCCATTCTGCCATGATTTGAAAGCAATAACAATACGTTTCCAAGGAAGATTAGCAGAGATTTCGTGACAGGGCTTTATTTTCCCAGTCATTTCCATGTGCTGCCTGTGATCTGGAGGTGCCCTCTGGAAAGATGATTGCGAGCGGTTTCCCTTTCTTATCTGCTTCAAAAGCTTTGTGGTGGAACAAAAGAATCATGATGGGGAAATTAAGATGCAATGGAGCGATATAGAACAATAGGACAGTTAATTTAATGTGCAAGTTAAAGAAAACGGTGCTAAAGGGTCAGGTTGAACCTCTCCACATCCTTCCCATCCCCCCAACACCCTGACTGATATTGTCTGGGTTGCTCTGAGCACAGGCTGGATCCAAATATGTTATTTCCTTCCATGACATCAAAGGGGAAAACGCCTCGGTTTTTAGGAGCTGTGTCCACGAAAGGAAACAGCGAGCAGCCGCTGGGAAATGATCATTGCTTTTTCCCCAAACACGTTTTTTTAAGCTATTTCATTTTCATAAGGGCGTCGGTTTAAACTGCAATAAACAAGAAGCTCTCTGGGATATTTGGGATATTACATTTTTTGCTTTCCTCATTCTTGTTTCATCAGCTCCACGCTGAGTTCTCGGTTATCCAGGTTTATAGTACAGCACTTTGCTGCAATTAACTGGCACAGGCTGCCCAGAGAAGCTGTGGCTGCCCCTTCTCTGGAAGTGTCCAAGGCCAGGTTGGACAGGGCTTGGAGCAACCTGGGCTAGTGGAAGGTGTCCCTGCCCATGGCAGGGGGTGGAGCTGGATGGGCTTTAAGGTCCCTTCCAACCCAAATTCCAGAATTCTGGAATTCTACGAATTAAAGGAAAAATCCCTGACTCAGGGGGGCTGAGGAGTTTGCAGGATGTGTAGGAGCCCACGAAGTGACCAGAGTGGCATGAGGGGCTGAGGACTGTCCACCCACCTGTCCTTGTCCATGGGACTCTGTGTCTTTCTGCTGCTGCTCCAGAGCAAATCTCCTGAGCTGAGATTTGGGGGTCTCTGAGCTGCTTTCTGTCCGCCCTGAGCACCTTTTTTCCCCTTCTTCTTGTCTTCCCCAGGAGTAAGCAGGAGTGATGGTTTCTGCCAGTGGATCTGGAGGCAAAGGCTGCCCTTTCTTAACCTGCCAAGGGGATAAGAGACTCAGTGTGGATTTAACCTAAGCTTTGTTTTTATGACTCTCTAGGCTTGTCTGTGCATTTTCCTGGTTTTGCTTTGTTCTCCGGGATCCTAAGCCAAGTTTCTGTCCCCTCCCTGGCTCCTGGGCCAGCAGTTCTTGCTTTCCACATATTTTAATCCTCTATGGCAAAGACCTTTGGTAGTTTTGGGCAACACATCAGCTCTTCTCTTGGCTGCATCTTCACCACGCTGCTCTTTTGCTTGAAAATCCTTGAAATCCACCAAATTTGGGGGGATACAGAGAGGATGGGGATTCCTGGTCCATTGTAGGGTGTTTGGGAGATCAAGCATCCAGCAAGGAATATTTGTGGGGATGGAGTGGGAGGATCCCAGGTGAATCTCGGGATGTCTGAGGGATAGAGTGGAGGTCTGGTCCAGCCAGGGCATTTGGGGGATGGGGCAGGCAGGTCCCTGGTCCAACATGGGTGTTGGAGGGTATGAACGGGGGGTTCCCTAGTGCAGTAGGGAGCATTTGGGGGATAGAGTGAGTGATCACTGCTCCAGCTGGGGCATTTGAGGGATGGAGCTTCGCTGTGTCGGAGCCCCTCTCCAGTCTATGCCCTTATCAACAGGATGGGATGCACACTGGGAAAAAGCCCAGGGGCTTCCTCCTTTGGCCTCCCAGTTTGTGCTGGGGCTGGCTGGGGCCACATCTCTGCCCTGAGCTGCCCCATGCCAAGCGAGGTGGGATGAGCTTCCTGTGCCAGGGAGGGAGATGCTCCTGCAGAACCCTGCTGCCTGGCTCAGCATCCCTCCTGAGGGAGCACGATGCATTGCCGTGTCTCGCGGGGCTGGTAAATGTGCTAATGCCCCGTAATCGCACGCGTGTTAACAAACACCTGTTCCCGCCACAGCCACCGGGACACCGGGCCAGCGTCTGGGGGAGTGTAATAAAAGCCCCAATTAGGACGCGGGCTTTGATCTCCGGGAGGTGAAGGAGTTCAGGCAGCTGTGCCGAGACCTCTCCCGCAGCCGTTCTTCTACTTCAGTAACATCCTTACAAAGAAGATCCTGTGTCCACGGCGCCTCGTTACGGCCCTTCTTCCCAGCCCGCGGCCACCTGTCCTTCCGTGCCGCCCCAGCGCGCCCGCCGGGGTCCCTGCCCGGGTCCCCTCCCGGGGCCTGCCGGCAGAGGGGCGCGAATCGGATTTCACGGCTCCGACGCCTGCAAAGAGCTGCCGGGCTTTGCTCTCCATTACTCAAAGTCCCCGTCCCAATGGGCTCTTTGTTCCCACGGCACGGCCTGCCAGCAGCTGGGTTCTCCATCCAGCCGCGCTGGGATGCAGGCGACGGAACGGGGAAGCAGCCGGGACACGGGACCCCCTGTGCACATCCCTGGGGACTCCAAGGGACACTTCCCGTCCTGCACGGGGTGAAGAACCCCTGCATCCCACACAAGGATCCTGGCCCAGAAGAGATGGAGGATCGCAGCAAGGTGAAGGGTC